TTTTTCATAAACTTATGCTATTCACAACCATTTTTCTAAAGACTTAAGTATTTGTTGCATACGGGCCCCATTCCACTAGATGACCTCGTTGCAGACCCATCTGTGGGTGATTTTTCCACTCTCTTTCTCACTACACTATTTTCTTTCACAGTACACAACCCAACACATTTCATTTTCATGTAATTTTCTCCCACGCGTTTCACACTGACATTTCTCATTCATTCGGGTATGACCAGAGGGGCAAGTAGACCTGCTGCAGTCTGGAAGCCTGTTTCTGTCAGAACCCCTCCTGCTTCCTAGACCTCACACAAGCTGTAATTCTCCTTCCGGGGGAAGACTGCAGGTGTTCTCCACCAGCCGTCTTCACACTCTCACAAACCAACAGCTCCTGAGCGACTATGACCGACAGCACTCAGGTAACCAGGCCACACCTGCTCTCCCGCATCTCTCAGCCAACCTTCAATTCTCCCAGGCTTCATAGTCTACAGCCAGTCCTAATCCCTGGCGAATGCAACCATCCTTCTCTGTTTCCCAAAAGGTTGCTTTTCACTCACAGCCCCAGCGGGTGGCATGGTGTCCATTTAGGCTGCAATTCATACTTCGCCATGGCACTCAAAGGCTAGAGCACTGCAGCTGCAACTGCACATAAACTCTTCTGATGACCTCAGTCAAACAGCACTCACACAGCACACCCTGTACTGTTTTTTTTTCCCTACAGTGGCCCTTTAGCCTTCAGCTCTCTGACCAGCCTTACTGCATCTCTGCCAAATACAGATATTTAAAACTTCCCTGCAGCAGCTGGTGACTGGTTCTAACACCTGGTCAGTTTGCATGTCTAATTCATGGGTTGCTGTTTCAAGGAGGAGGGGTTTTTCTTTCTCTCTCTCTGCGGTCTGAGAGAGTTGAACAGACTCCTCAGACTCAGACTCTAGCAGCCGTTCTCTGCTCTCTGAGAGTCTATGCAGCCTCCTTTAGAGCAGTAAGATAGACTCTATAAATAGGATCGTTACAGCGGTAGCTTGGCAAACCATCAGTTCCCTACAGCTGCTGCAATCTACACAAATAGTGGCTTGTGAGCTGTTACAGTATGCGGTCTGCACATCTTGATTCAGGAGAGAACAAAGTTTGACTTTCAAATATGTTTGTAGACCCCAAGCAGTGATAATTATGAGACCAAATACAATTAATAAGAATGAAAAAAAAATTGGTATAAAAATATATCTCAAAAGCAATTAAAATATGTAGGTGAAACACTGCTATTGTAGTCTAAATTAAGGTACTTTACCCACATGGCTTCAGTAGAATACCCAGCTGTACAAATAGGTGCAAATGTACACTAAGCAGTTTTGTGTAAGGGCATCAAGTGTATTAGTACTACCAAGCTGTTAATAAGTGCAAATTAGATTTGAGAGAAAATGAAGGATAATAGATGACACAGATGCTTCATAGGACGGCCTTAGCATGAGATTGCACTTAAGTGATTTCCATGATTATGGCCGAAAACAATTATTTATGATTAAAAAAGAAGAATTATATTCTTCAATTCCAGCAGTGCAATGCTCTTTCAGGCAAATTTGTGAAGTTAATTTCAGGTGTTTTCACTCAAGGACCTTCACACTGGCTTTGCTCTCAGCCAGTGGAATTAAATGTAAAACAACTTAACATTATCTTTTACCTTATGAAAATTATGAAGCCACATTTTTTTTTTCCCTGTGTATTACCGTCATCTCCAAGATGATTAAGTCACAGCAATATTTTCACAGCAAATCTTAAACTCTGTTTTAAAATATATCTAGTAATGGAGACAAAATAAATATTTCTATTTTTTTGTTTTTCTGAGTACAAGTATGCCTTTCACCTTTCACCCGACAAACTATAACCGAACATGGCACCTGGTGTCAGAAAGATGGAAAATTGATAATCTGTAAATTGTTATCCATGTTTCAACTCCTTTCACACATATTGATGCATGTAATTATCTTAGACATTCATCAGATTTTATCACCATTTCATGTTTCACACATTTTACCTTCAGGAATATTGATTCATATTTCAGGGACAGCAATGTCAAAAAACTATATACCTATGAGATAACATTTCATCTGAATTTCAGAATTGTGTATGTTCATCTACAATACAGTATTTATCTTCCAAAAACTTCCTACCATTTTCTGTAATGAATTCTGCAATGCGTTCAATATTTTAATGTCCAGATTAATTGGTGTCTCTAAATTGCCCCTGGTTGTGTGTGTGGTGTGCCATGGGTTGGTATCCCATTTGGGAGTGTGTCCTGTACCCACCAGGTCTGATTCACTGCCCTTTGAGGAAAAAGTAGTTAAGTAATAATAAATAATAAACTTTATTTTATATAGCGCCTTTAAAGGTGGCTTTTCAAAGCGCTTAAGTAAAAGTAAAACTGGTAGATAGAATTCCCCAGATGTGTGTTAATGGTGATATCTGGTGATGAGTTCAGGGAATGCTGTTTGTCAATTCAGATTACGTGCAATATTCATTTGTAAAAGTTTTAACTTCAGGTGTTAAAAGAAATAAAGGAACTCCAATTCACGTGATAAAAAGCACTGGTTTGCTCCTTCTAGAGTGAAATGCATAGTGTTGCATATAAGTGATTCTGTTTTTTAAAATTGAGTTTCATGTTATGCAAATAATATAAAACATTATAAAATATTAAACAGATTTGAAACTCTAAAAATGCATCAGAAAATAACTGACAGGCCCTGTACCTTGCCTTTTGACAATCAGTAAGTCCAGGAGCAGAATGACCACTTTCCATTTCTTATTAAATAATAAAAGTATGAACTGTAAGCAAATGTTATGTGTCCTAAGTTATTTATTTCAAGATGTCAAATATACATTTCTGCTGTATTTTTTAATACACTTCTACACAGATTTGAGTAGAAGTATACTGTATGGCAAGTTTCAGTTGCCATAAGAAATGTCCCCAAGCAGGTAGCCTCTTATCTGTACCAGTTTGCATTGTCTGCTTTACACCAGTTGCTTGATGGAACTAATCTAGTGATTTTACAGTATCTAGATGTGTTGTAAAGGCACTAGTCTGAGAAGACTGACCTTTCCTTATATAACCCTTCCTCCCAGTGGAACCCAAGGTCAATGTCCTCCTGGAACAGTACCCTTTAATATTTTGTATACACAGTAGAGCCCTGGTTAGGGTCTTGAATTAAAGGGCATCCCTTGGACATTCTGTCTGAACCTTCAGAATTTTTATGTCTTACTCAGTACACATACAGTATTAGAAAGGAGTATTCAAGGAAAACAGGAAAAAATAAAAACATTTTACAGTAAATTTCTCAAGTATACCACTACTTGTTATACTTAAGATGTAAATTCCTTGTTCAAGATCTTCTCAAATATGTCTACTACCTTGGATAAGCCTTTGATAGGGATTGAAGAAATATTAAAAAAAAACATTTATATGAAGACAGGACCTGGAATAATTTCCTGTGCCCTCTAAAATATGTGAAATAAATAATAAAAAAATGAAAAGAATATATTTGTTTCCATTGCGTGACTTCTGGCAGTGCTAAAGAGCCAATTTATGGTGTTTGCGGAGAAATAAAAAGTGTGTTTTCGCACCTTTTGTATACTTCTGGGGTGTATTTATGACATGATGATAAGAGGCTTTGTAATTTTTCTTCATTTCATTGACAGAACAAAACTGGCAATAGGAAGGAGAACCATGAACCACCCTAAGTCTCTAATAGTCAGAATTTCCCGAAATTAGTTATTTCTACCTATTAGATCAGCATTATGCATAGCTGGTTGATTTTGAAAAATAAAAGGGGCCTACGATAGCATTTAGTTTTTGAAACGTGGGTTTGTTTTCTTTTCATTTTTGCTTTTTTCAAAATGAATTTTGGTGAATGTTCTACTTTTGTGATTATATTATGCTGGAGAATTGATTAATTACTAATTGAAACTAGTGCTTCTCTGCACTGAAATGTCCGATAAATATGCCTATGAAAAAATATTCATTTGCTTATGCTGTTGTATCTTGTTAGAAACACACTGTTGAAAAGTTCAGGTTGTCATGTGAAATATAGTCCAAGTGAATTATGCCTTTAAATGGTTTGTTTTTTACAAACTAGTTTTATTGCTGTGAAAACAAACTTAATGGTTGTATATTGGATATTGTCCAAGAATATGGGAGATCGCTTGCATTTGCAATACTTTTGAGAAATGATTTTAAAAAATTGTTTTTGGTATTGAGAAGTGTCGCATTCAAAGCAAATATACATGCAGTATATTGTTGGATATGATTCTAGTGGAGGATATAATCACTCATCTGTAAATCTGAAATTACAAGTGACAAGGTAAAACTAATACAGCTTTCCCACTGTGCAGTTGTGAAAAATGCCATGATGCAAAGGGCTAAATTGATTGACTGTTAAGCTTATTCTGTGTGAAGAAACACTTTCAGGCTCTTCTATACCAGCATGCCTTTCAAAACCTGTAGAAATAGTTTCAACACGAGACTAATGCACATAGCTCTAAAGTGTTTTAATCTGTTGAGCATGCTTTTTTATCCAGAGTAGCCAGGGATTTTTAATACAGGCCTCACAGAAATTATTTTAAGTTACTCACAAATACTACATGTGAATCAAACAGTCAGGCTGTGCTTTATTTAAAATCATTTTTAAAAAAGAAATGAATTATGATGAATTAATTAACATTTGATTTACCACTTTCTTTAATCTAAGCAGAGTTGCTTTAAGTAGAGTTCCTGGGAGGGCAAGGCCTCTTTGTGTCCAAATATCGATGCCTTTGACATATATCGTATGCTGGACTTTTTTATCTTGAGAGTAAAACAAAAATTTAGGGCAGAAAAAATAGAACCAGGCACTCATATTTTGGTCTCCTTGGCAAGCCATTCCTCCCTTGATCTCAAGCCATCCTTTGCCTCAGCGTTTGTGTGCTACTAACCCTTGACTGTTCCCTTTCTGTATATCTGTCTAATTTATCAGTTTCTTGTAGATTGTCAGCAGCCTGCTGCCTCAGTACCGCCACTCTCCCCACAACTAAGGCGAGGGAAAGCTTCTCGAACCGAAAGGTAACCTTTTAGCTGACCCCTCGTGCTGTAGTCACCCCCTCAGCCGCATGGAGAGAGTGTATCACTAGCTGCACTCAGTGCCGCCATATTGATGCACTGTAGTTTTGCATGGAACACTTGAGCACAAACTCCAGTTATCGCCACACACTCTCTGTCTTTTCCCACTTCTAGTTCTTAGTGCTTTCCTATATCTGCTTCTGTTCTACCCCCTAAGATCCAGCCATCATTAGGCGGTAGCTTTCATGTGTGTTTAACTCATCTTTCATGAAGTATAACACACAAAAAAGACAGCAGTACAGTCATGGGCAAAAAGTTCAGGCGGGAAGTAAATTGCATTACTTCATCTGCACTTCTTCTGCACCAGCTGCGCCAATCTGAACACTTACCGTACAACAATAAAGCATCGATAAACAAAAATAAATATATAGAAGACGTGGAATTTCTACTGCTAATGCAAATAGTACAGGATCATGAAGAATATGTTCTTTTTTAAAAGAAAGGACATAGGCATGTTGCTTTCCTTTCTTGACATATACAGCTGTCTATCTGAAAATCTGTCATGTTCTAGAATTTCGAAATGGAAGCCAGTTCCTCAGCTGATTTGCCTGTAAACTATCCTCTCTCTGTCTGTACTGGAATAAATTGCCAAAAAAATCTTCTGAATGGTCATTTGTTTTCTATTTGTATTTTATTTGTGACGCCCATGGATTTTTGTTTCAAACCATTTCACCCTAAGTGAAATTGAGTGTTTGTTATAGAGGCATGACAAAAAGGAAAAGGAATGCCACAGCTAATTTCATTCTCAATATGGAAGCAACGCTCACCTGTCTTGTGCCACCACTTGTGGGAAGGCATTTGAAAATGGTGGGTTTCAGTGTACACAACACAGCTCTCCCTGACAGCAAGGCAACTGCTGACAAATCTCCAGTGGTAACCTTTCAAATGGTGCCATAACTGTATTATAATTCTATATTATATAGCCTCTACTGGATGTTTTTGAATTTGCTCTGTCCATTTTTTAAACGTGCGTTACGTTCATGGGTGTTTGTGAAAGGTCATACTATACTGTGACTCCTAGCTCCTCTTCATTTTTGCACTGCTTTCACCTCTGCTTTTTACAGGATTCACTTCTGCAATCACTGCGTACAGCATATATCTCTTATTTCTTTTCCCCTTTTTTTGTTTTGTTTTCTTCTTTCCTCTCGCAATTTGCAGTCGTAGTGTACCAGTAGCTCCCCAAGAGGAACAGGCACATTCCAGCGCTCCTTGTGTTCCACTCAACTGTCTATCTAAGCCACCTCCTTGCCCTTAGCCCTGCGCACAGGCCCATCCTAGAACTCAGCCCGGACCCTACCAGGAGTGGCTGCCCAGCCTGCCAGACTCTCCTGCTCTGTTGCTCACTGACTCTCCAGGCCTCAATCCCCGACCTACAGACTGAGGCGACAGGAGGAGGCAGGGGTCACAAGATGTGTGGGAGCACGAGGCACTTTCTGAAAGTGGAAGGCCGGATTTTAAGAACAACGACACGTAGAGAAAATATTTATTATAATCACTTTTTTTGGAAAGCATCAAACCTGAATATAAATCCAACTTGAATTGGTCTTTCCCTCCTCTCATCCTTGCATGGCCAGTCCAGAAAAAAAAAATTGTACAATGAACCTTTTGTTGGAAATATTTCCCACACACTTTGTCCAAGTGTCTTCAGCAGAGATGCAAACATTCTGAAAATCAAGAAAATAATTATTCATTGCGGCACTGAAAATAGCAGAAATACTGTACTCAAGAGTGTCAATCTTTCAGCTGCTGGCAGTCTTTCAGAGATGACGTTTCTTCAGGTCCCAGATGGAAACATTGACACTTCCTAGTGTGGTGTATCTGCTGTTTAGGAACTGTAAAATGAGGACAGTTGTTTCTTGCTTGATTTAAATACTGAAAATGCCTAAAATGACAGCTAATCCATTCAAGGAATGAGAGAGATGCACAAGGAAATGTGTTTCTATTGGCTTTTAAAGTCCCAAATTGGACAGTTTCTCTCAGTGTTAAGAATATTGAACTCTTCTGGTTGCATTTCTGAAACAACAATGAGAAAACATACTGTAGTACCTTCTACATGCATAAAAAGTAATCTTTTTTACTTTTGAGTATTTTGAAAGAAAGATTAGGTCTGTGTGAGAAAGATAGGAGGAATTAAAAAAGTGGATTTTACCTTACAGTACCTTATCTTTTAAAATGGTTGGTTGAGATTAAAACTTGTCAAATATCTAAGCTAATGTCAGATCTGAAACTAATGTCAGATCTGAAGTAGGCCACATTAGTTCTGACAAGGGTGTTTTGTATATGTTCATAAATATTTATTTTTTATTAAATATTATTTTGTATTTATTTGATCATTCAGTCTGTATTGGTCATCAGTCATTTTGGTTTTTTATTTTCCTGTTTATTTTAGAAAACTGCGGAGATACAACATTTATACGATAGTTACAATAAAAACAGTAGGTCAGTATTTGGTCATACTGTATGCATTGCACAAAAGGTTGGGTATGTAGTGAAGAGTGTTGACTATTCACTCAAATCTACTTGCAAAACTTACAACTTACAAAAATGTTTTATGATGTTTCATTTTGAGCAGTATTGTGAATTAGTAATTAGTGTGTTCTGTTTGGACTAGAATACTTTTTTTTCTGTACAAAGGAAGATGCTGTATGCTATGAATTATTTTGAATTTCAAAATGCAGTACATTTAGGGCAGCCCTCCTAAGACCTTTCTGTCAATTTTATTTTCAGAAATGTTCATCTTGCTGGTTCAAAATACCATTACCAATCAGGAGCAGGTTTAAGCCTTTGGTTTAATGTATGTAGTAGCATTGCACAGATGGAAGTATTTCCATACCCAGAATGAGGACTTATTGATGACTTGAACTGATGTCTTCTTGTTTAAGTGTTAGGTCACCAAAATGCTTTGGTTATTAAAACTGATGATGAAAAAAACATTCTGAAAAATAACTGAAGTGGAGTTAGACTTGTTCTAACCCATAATGACCAGATAAGTCTTTCTTTTCTGAAGAAAGCCAGGTGCCTTTACCCTTTCTCAATACAAAGAGTATATTAACTACATCACAGCTGGGATTTAATGAAATGCCCATGTTAACATTTAGACATTCTCCAAAAACAGCTTGCATTTCAGAATCAGCTTTACAAAACCTCTTCACTTCCAAGCACCTTTCTTAAGAAGCACAAATTGTCATATCCAACTATGCATTAACATAGCCACGTAAAGTCTCATTCATTGGCCTGCAATCCAAATGTGCCTGTATACATATTTAACTTACATAGTATGCTGGAGAAGATATCTATAGAAGAACCCCCAAGCTGAAAAGATGAAAAAGGCCTTTTGACCAGTCAAACTTATTCTGGTAAAAAGATTGATCTGTTGGAAATCAGTTGAAAAAAACATAAAATGAAACCTCCCCTGAATTGCTGAATAATAAATTAAATTTCACAACTTGTTGTGTTTACTCGGGCCTTCCACTTCACATTGAAAGGATTCCAATCTGCTGTAACAGTTTGGCTCAGAACGCTATTAAAATGTTTGCCATGGTGCGGAATTCAATGCAAAGAAAAAAGGAAATTAATTCTGAACTGGATTTTGATCATCAACCATTAGGGGCTGTCAGTAATATACTACTCAGAAAGGAATGTCATCACCACGATCGCAATTAGGAGCAACTTCATCGTTTATTAATGTTACTTCATCACAGAATTTCAATATTCAGAAGAAAAGGGATTTTTCTTTTCATACTGGAGAACTAAATAGTGTTGAGGGTTTAAGATTTACTCAGTCACACCTAGATAGGACTGTAACATAGCTCCAGCCATCCATCCAGATTCATTATGCTGCTTCTCGTGGTAAGGATTACTGTATTATCAATCTCAGTAAAGTGGACTAGACCTTCCTTTTCTCAGAATTGTATTCCAGTGCTTCCTGATTTCCAGGCATTCTTGAGCATGCTGGGAGACTTAATCTCGCCGTCACGCCCTGGCCTGGCCGCAAATTCTCCACCTAGGAAGCTGTACCCAAAAACACTCCAAAAAAGGGAGACTTTCTTTAAAGTGTGCTTGTCAGTTCCCTGAACCACCTAAATTACCTCCTCTCAATCCTGGGGAGTAAAAGCTCAATTCTGAGGCTTACTGTTATCATTTTACGATTGACCACCCTAATCGTACAGTCCAGAACTTCCAGTATTTCAGGACAGATCTCTTCCATTCATGCTGCAATACCACAACATAGGCACTTGACCGCTGAATTTGGCAACACTGATAGATCCTAGCACATGCGAGGCTTCCAGCACTGCCTCCTAGAAGGAACACATGTCCTACTGGCGTCCACCAGCAAATCCTTGGGTTACTGCCATGACAGTCACCAACTGCCTTTAAACCACAGCCTCAGTGATTTAAGTCTTGCAAAGGAACATTCAGACTCGGTGTCCTCAGCTTCACACAGGATACAAGAAAACTTATCCCAGAGGTTTAAGCTGTAATGATGCCTCCAAGAATTATCCACAGGGTATTCCCTGGTGATTCTCACTGCAAATTTTGCAGATTCGCAACCCAGTGGTAAACATACCACTGTAGGTCCACCGATAAGACTATAACATTGATCATCAACCTTCAGCCCATGGTACTTTGGTACCAAGTAGACTTACGTTTTTTTACGAATAACATGATTAGCACAGAACTCCAATAACCAATTGGGGTCAAATCGGGAAGACAGTGGTTACCAATAAACCCCTTGGGTACCTTCACCTTTTATGAGCATTGAAGTCACCTTGTACTGCTGCGGGTGTAGAAGTTTGCACCCCATTAAGTATTGAACACACTATCTTCAAGAAGGCTGAAAATTCCTAGCTACTGTTTGGTGAATAATCTCATGCTCAACAGTTTTTTTTTTAACTCTGAAATGTGAAGCGTCATTAACGAAAAATCTCTTGTCCACTGAGAAAATTTCCAACCATGTGGCCTTCACTTGAGGGAACACCTGCCTAAACCACTCACACAGGGCCATTCTTTCTTGAGACACTTCATTCTAAAGCCAATGTTGTGTATTGTGTTGAGACTGCCTTCTCCATCAGCATTCATTCTTTCCGCAAAAGTGAAGCACCATTCCATGTCCTAACATTCTTTCTCCATTGCCAAGGTACAGTCCATCTCGTATCTCTTCCCTCCTACTGCCATACAGGCATTACACACAACCATCACCCTTCGTCTTGCAGGTGTTGAACCCAAAAGGCAGAATCACCGCACTATTTTAGGCTAAACAACTAGATTGTGATTATGGTAGAGTCTGACAAATAGCAGAAAGCAGAGGATTATTTATAGCATGAAAGCACAGTTCATATACAATTGTTATAGTTGTTGAAGCGGATAACTGGCTTCTTTCAAGCAAAGACTTTTCTTGAAACTTCTTTTTTTTTTTTAAAACAAGGTCCATGGATAAACTAGCTATGAGGAACCAAACAGTCTAGATAGGCTCAATAGCCTCCCCTCATTTTTTTCTATTTCTCAAGCAGGCTATACTCAGTGCCACCGGGCTGATTCATTGGCCAAGTGGTTCTAATATTTAGGCAAGTCAGTGAAGGCTCTGATCTGCATGCCTTGGTTTTCTAAATCAAATCAACCTGTATGGACAATGTTCGACTGCTTCCTCATTAAAGCAACATACAAATAAATGAATATATGTGTAATCATCTGTGAATTTATGTTCCACAAAGTTATTTCAGATATAATTTTCACAACAATCTTCATATGTTTTCAGTTTTTACGAAAGCAGCAGATAAAAACAATAGAAAATGGGGATTCAGTGTGTTACCATGTAACAAAATGGGAAAAGGCACTTTTGTTTTTACATGACCATTAACTCTATTTCCCTGCATTGAGACCCTTTTTTGCAATTGTTGTAGGCAGAGGTTTGAGGAAGGGTAAAATCTCAATAAAAAATCATCTTTCTTTTCAGAATCTTAGAGCTAATGTCAGGGCTCGTATAGTAAACCTAATCCTACATAACATACCACACGTTTCTGTAACCCCACATGCACAAACACACACAAATAAATAAAAATATTGTGTGGTACTACAGCCCAAATTCTTATGGATGTCTGCAGGACTTCTACACATAATATAAGCCTGGAACTTGAAGAGATTAAAAACAAGGAATTCCAGATGTTATTTGCAAAGATGCAAGCACTTTGCACCAACAGTTGTTATGGAAGTTTAGGGTCACAAAAAGCAATGCTCTTTTAACTCATTGTGATATTTTTACTGACAACCATATGAAGCCATATGAAAGGATAGTCATTCACCTTTTCTGACTCTGAAAGTAATACTAGAGGTGTGTTTTTTTTATTTTTTAAAGCAATTAAAAAATGTCTGAATCCATATTAGAAACTGTCCTGAATTGGTTTTCCAGAATAAACTGCTTTTCTTTGAAGTGGTAATTGTGAAACATTAAATGATTTTTCAGAAGGATAAAAATGTGCCACCATATAGTTTTGGGGTTCTTTTTACTGTGCATTTGAGTAACCTAATGGATTTTTAAGTTGCATGAGCATTTATACCTGACTAGCCATTCACATGTTACTGATGTGTTTTTGTGTTTTTTTTAAGAATGATGGTACTGTATGTGTATTTTGGGTGAGATTTCAATAAGGAAATTCAGATAGGAAACTCAAGTAATTTTAAGACCTTAGGCCTTTTTGAAATTCATATTACATAGATGCCATTCATTGAGGTGAATCATTTTAAGAAACCTGAATGTACTTTGGCTGTGATATAGAAACAAAACAATCGTCCTTCCTCTTGGTGTTGTCAAAGACGTAACTGTTCAAATTTTCCTAAAGAAAGACAGTTAAAGCATGTTTATAACACTGATGGAAACTGTTTGTCAGATATATTGTAACACAATACAGCACTAAGAGAGTGGGAATCTGAGAAGGAATGGCAGTGGTGTTGTGAAAAATGCAATGTGAAAGGTCTAAAACTCAAGGTCCAACCTGAACGTTTCACTCATTGTTTGTGAAGAACAAGAACTCTTTGGTTGTTTGCACAAGTTAAGTTCCTGTCTGTGGGATGGCCTGACAGAAAAGCAGGAAAACCTAAATAAAAAAGAAAACAAGAAATACAAAAAAGACAGCAATATACTGTATTGGGTTTTACATTTTTATTTCTTATTATATTGAAATGAACAGTGTAATACCTACCTGTTTCCAGATAAAATAAACAGACTATCCTTGGACTGTTCACTGGAGTATTGTGTTCCTTGCCTTTGTGTCTTTATTTCCTGTGCTTAATCACGTCTTTCTCAAGAAAAACGTTTATTAGTAAAAACGTCAAACAGTATGACTGAACTCACCATGGTGATTTTTTTTAAAAGAGTCTTCAGAACATGCTCATGAGTAGTTCAGGGTTCTGAAACTGTCCTTCACAGAAGAGTCTGTAATTAAAGATTAAAGAGATTATTTTAGAATCTAACAAATCAATGTCATGTCATTGTTGCAATTGAATTGTACATGTCTACAACAAAGAGACAATGAAGGAAAGCAAATGTCCAAAATAAAAGAGACTCAGCATACTCAAATACACAACCAAAGCACTGTGTTTTGTAAAAATGTTCAATGTTAACATGAAAACAACACAAAAGGGAAACCTATTAAATTATAAACTCTATCATTATATTCTTATAATTATCTGTAGCACCTGTTTTAAGCCTGGACTAAAAAGATTCAGCTAACAGATGTGTATCAGCATACTCACATACACAACCAAAGCACTGTGTTTTGTAAAAATGTTCAATGTTAACATGAAAACAACACAAAAGGGAAACCTATTAAATTATAAACTCTATCATTATAGTCTTATAATTTTCTGTAGCACCTGTTTTAAGCCTGGATTAAAAATTCAGGGGAAATCTGAATGAATAAGGTTCTCTGTAATATTTTAATGCTTGAAGTCAACACGATATACAATATAGTTACAATATAGTGACAATAAATGTATAAAATATTGAATTAATATAAATCAGATGCCAACTTGCTATGCAAGCCAATAATAATAAAGATTAATTAGTTGAACAAATTGCTTTCTTGACTGATTCATAACTTACAAGTGTTCCTAATTTTCATACAATTGGTTAATTAGGGTTACTGTATAAAAACAACAACATAAGGGCTCCCCTGGACCAAAATCTTCCATTCCAGTGTAACCCCTTTGATCTAGTTATCTGTTTAATTATACAATAAATTAAACAATTCAAGTGAATAATCCTGTAATAGAATTGATTCGAATGTCTGGTATTTGACTTCCCCTGAACTTGAAGAGGGCAGCATGATAGCACAGTGGTAAGCAGCGATGCTTCACAACTCTGGGGCCTTGAGTTCAATTCTGGACCTGGGGAACTGTCTGCATGGAGTTTGTATGTTCTCCTCATGTTCATGTGTGTTTCCTCCCACAGTCCAAAGACAAACTGGCAGGTAAACTGGCTTCTGGGAAAATTGGTCCTGGTTTGTGACTGTATGTGCCCTGTGATGGGCTGCCATCCCATCCACGGTGTACCCTGCCCTGTGCAGGATCCTGTTTGCCAGGATAGGCGCCGGCTCCCCATGACCCTGTTTTAGATATAGCGGTTAAAAAACTGATGGATGGATGATCTTGAGAATTGGTGATGGTTATCCCTGATTCTCACTCAAGATTGACCTCTTTCAGCTATTGGTAGTAGTTAGTTAAAATGAATGAAAAGTTTTCTATGTATGCTGTTGAGACATGCACATGTTGCAATTTAATCTCATGGAAAAGTACTCGGCACCCTCAAAACAGTGCTGAGGGTGCCAAAACACAAAACATTAACTAGAAGACCCAATGCTCTGTTAGCCAATACAAATAAACTACCAAGTAGGAACATAAAAGCTGAAAATTCTAATTTCTAATTTAGTCTAATAATAAAACTAATCAGAGAACCCATCCTTGTAAACACAAAAAAATTGTTCTTTATGAAAGGACAATTTCAACCACTGTGTCCTCTCCACAGCCTGGAGAGGAAACCTATAACAAAGTTCACGCGTCTAAGGATTCTCACCAGCTGCAGCCCTTTCATTTATCTGAATATCTTGAGAAATTAGTTACATCTCGTAACCTACAGGGGGCAGGATTCCCGCCCTTGCACGCCCCGTAAAAAGCCTCCGGTGAAATTATCTGTTCAATCTGAAATTCACCAGCACTGAAGGCAGTATGGGGAAATAATGTCACCTAGGTTATTAGGTAACATAACTACAGGACAACTATTCAAACCACACCTGTCCCACTATTATAACTCAACATGCGTAAACTCCTTGTGTTTTGTTTTAGCATTGATTTAGTGTCCTAGTCATTATAATGATACTGGCTTGGTGTGTACAGTGAATTTAATGTAATTAGATTTAATTTTAAGTTTAAAAAAAGCCTTTCCTACACAGTTTAAAAAACACATTAGTCTAATCAGGTCAATAAAATGTACTTGCCAACAACCTCACATTTAAGGAATTCAGAAGATCTCCTTCATTTCATTTAATTTTAACACGTAATAAACTGTGGTTATTCTAAAATCTAATTTTATTCCTGGATGCCGAATAATCGCATTTATCCTAGAGATCTACAAAAACGGTGAGTACCGATATTCCTTGGTTGGTTTGCGCAGGACATGGTGAAGTGAAAAATGCAAGCTTATTCATTTGTTTAGAATCCCAGTGGGAAGTGGTTCGGTAAGTAATTAAACCATCCCACAGAACAAACACTAGTTTAGTTTAAATACCTTGTTGTATTTCCTGGTACATCTGAATAGACTGCAGCTTATAGAGAAACCACTGCCTTAAGATCTCAGACATACGTGTATGTTTAATTTAAGTCTCCAAACCAGAGAGTACGTTTTAAGAAAACTGTATTATAAAATGTATACTTTACCGATCCAAAAACCTCAGAAGTTGTTAAAGATGCCACGCAACCTTCTAATCTAAATCTCAGTATCTGTAACTCTTAGATCTAACGTTACAGTTTAACAGAATGTTGAATTTAAGAAAAATAACGTTGTTTTCTTTTTCATTTTAAGGGATACTGAATTACCTTCATATTTATTTTTCCATCAGGTAACCCTAAAAGTAAACGCGGTGGAAAATGTTCCGGAATGGCAGGTTTCCTCTAATCATCTTGCAGGAGGCGCCTATCAGCAAGGAAAGAGGTGGGGTTTATGTGGCTCAAGGTGACTGCAACAGGACTGCAGTAAAGATAAGCAGGTGGCTGGCAGTAAGAGGTTTTGCGTTAGAAAAATCTGGAAGGTGCAGAGTTTGGCAATCCTCACATGCGGTCAGCTGTTGAAATGAAGTAGAGCTGCGGAGGGGTCATGCTCTGGGATTTGCGAACTCTCCTGCTGGTGGTTCCATCGACGAGGGAGAGGGGCGAAACCCTTAGCAAGTTACTACTGCACTCGAACTTCTGTAGCAGTCAGTGAAGCAGACGCTGGTCTTTATATTACTTCTGCTGACGGTATACAGTCGCAGTCAGCACCTGTACTACCGTTGCGTGAATGTATTATTATGTTTAATGAAGCCCGGTACTTAAGATGCGTTGTTACTGCGTCGGCTTTTTTTGCTTTTTCCTTCATCTCTTGTGGAGACTGAAATACGGAAAGGGGGAAGTGCAGCGCACCGGAAAATAAGGTTTTAAATGTTCCCTAGGAGATCTAATAGTAAAACTACCTTGCATCCCATGGATGACTTCAGGAGGGCAGCAATCAGACGGAAACCAAGAGCAGATGCTGCCTCGGACTGTGACCGGGAGAACTCCTTAGGTAAGTGATTTCATTCGGATGCAGTTTTGTGAAGAGTGCGATCGGAGTGACGTCCACACGTTGTAAATGTTTCCCTGCTTCTCTAATCACACGTGCACAGTCAAGTCCTCTTTAATTCCACTTTAGCTAGGTAAGACCTAGACGTAAACAAGAAGCTGGAGTTTAGCTATGACTCAAGGTTGCCATAGTTTTCATTTACCCCCTTATTGGATGAAGAATAATGAGGAATGTGTATCGTTATTTTTTGTTTCTCTCTTTATTGTGGTGGAATGAAACCTGTTGGCGAAATTTTGTGGTTTACGCTGCGTCATTGTTTTTGTTTACCCGTCCGATGCGTTTTCAATGATAAATTTCTCACGCGTAGTGGAACTGTAGCTGCATACAGTACAGTGCTTAATGTACAGACCTGGAAAAGGCAATGCAAGTGACTGGTGTATTTCCAGAATGACTATCATTCCTTATCTTCTGTAAATGGTACGTACTCTAAACAGAAAAATGCTGTAGTTACACTACAGTACCAGAATGCTCAAGAGCACTCCAAAATCAATTTTGGTTTTCAGTTTCCCTAAAGCGAATCGGCCCAGCTGAACAGAACAAATTAATATTTGTGTGGAGTAAAACGCTGTATCAAACCGCTGCGTGTCGTAGCTTGTACTGCCTTCTTTCAAAATTCAGTCGGATTAAGTTACAGACACAGTAAACGCAGAACTAGGCACAGCAAGATAATGTAATTCCGGAGACTATTACTCAGGATCTTTGGCGATAAAAAACAGGAATGTGTCAAGGTATTTTACATAGCCCGAGGACGTTTTAGGTGTGCAGGAGAAAACATTTGTAGACACGCCCTAACTAGAACAGATGCTTATACAATGTTAAAAGCCGACAGGATCATTCTGTTCATTTCAAGTGAGTTTCTTCACAGTATTCTTTTGCAATAGCAAATGTTATGAATACAATATTCTTGAAATGTTATAGAATGCTTTTCCTGCTGAAGCGTTTTCTTTACTGTATATTTTGGACTCGTGCATTATTTTGTACCACTCTTAAACCATTCTGCTCAAAAACTGTTTTACCACCATAGTTTTGGATAATTTCCGAGCGGTAATCAGAAGGTACCCCTGAGATTTGATGCACTAGTTGCAGCTGGCGCAGCATAATTGGTGTTATTTTCTCGGAATGTGAGCCTAAATGCTGGTGACCAAGACCCCAGTATTTAGCTAGAGTGCAATTATGACACAAATCAATTTTGTGTGGCATCTGAAGAAGGCTCCACAGCTGAAACGTTGTGTATCTTGTCTTCTCTTTTCAGCATGGAATAAACTTTTGCTTGTTCCTTTGCAGCCTATGCGTGCCAACGCAGCTTGAAAACATGGCAGTTTACTTACCACTGTAGTCGCTAGGAAGAACATTTCTTCCATATACAGTAAATACATTCACAGGATAGTAACACTAATTCCCCCACAATATACCTATTTATCTTACAACCATACAGTACATACAGACATCACATCACTTTCAGTAACCACTCATTCAATTCAGGGTCATGGTAACCCAGAGGCTATCCCGGGAAGAATTGGGCTCGAGGTAGGATACACCTTGGACAGGACACCAGTCCATTGCAGGGCACATAGATACAAACATGCATACGCTCACATCAGGGCCAAGTTTACAGAGGCAATTAACCTATCAGTTTGTCTTTGGACTATGGGAGAAAACCCACATGAACGTGAGGAGAACATGCACACTCCATGCAGATAGCATCTCAGGAATTGTACCCAAGGCCCCAGCACTGCAAGGCAGCAAAGCTAACCACTGTGCCCCCATGCCTTCCATACTGTATATACAGATATACACTGGAAATGTCCACCTCAAAGAGTCGTGATGCAACAAAAACTCAGTAATACAGTGTCAGTATCCCAATTTGGTGACAATATCTGTAAGGTAAGCTTGTGCAAGGAAAAAGATCTGCATGCTGTGTCTTTTGTTTTTTTTTAGACTGAACCAGTTCTGTCAACAGGCTTGGTTTCCCTCGGCTGGATGACTCAGGGAAACAATCAGACAAAAGGAAGGAGGCCTTCACTATATAGTATACTATATATAAAAATACAATAGTGTTTTTCTTCACTGAGTGCTTGCATATACTGAATACCAAGTCATGCATTTGGAACCTATTTTTGTGTCCTGTGGAAAAAGCTTTCTTCAGAAAACCCATCTAACTGTGATGCTTTTCTTGAATAAGGATATGGCTAGACTATGATTGGTAGAACAGTAAATAGGTTCCTGTCCTTCAAGGTGGGCTGCTCTTGCAGACCCATCTCTTGACAGAGGCGTGCAGCTCTCTAGGTTGGCCCAGATCCTTCCCTTACTCCTGCTAATTTGATCCACTCTTATTCTTGGTTTTGTCTCTTCACTCAGTTGCAGCACCTTTACTCTAGCATGTATATTTTTTATTTGAGGAGTGTGTTGTAAGTAATGACTACTCAAACTCTCAGTGCCATTGAAATGACATTCCATTTTGCTGACAGATGTGCTTCTACAATGAATTGAATACTTGCGCAATCAAAATATTTTAGAGTTTGATTTTTCTGAACTTATTGCAGACGTTTAACCTCTCTAACCCATAAAGGTATCCAGTTTTAAGTGTTGAACATGAAAACCTTTGCATACATCATGCGTTATTCAACAAAATGAGACATCATTAGGAAGGGGTGAATACTTTTTTCGGACACTGTAATGACAGAGCTTCACGTAGCAATCATATCTTAACGGAGACATTTTAAAAGGTGTCTGGGGGTCTTGTCAACTAGTGATTTTGACTGCTTTGGTAGATGAGCTGGTAGGTAGCAACATATTGCTTTTGTGTTCCCCTGCTGCTGACTAGCATTCAGAGAAGGGTAGTAATCAGACAGGACAATGCTTAAAATACTTTTAAGGGGGAGACAGTTTTGATATTTTTGCATTACTTTAAGTAGTACAAAAATAAGTATTTAGAAGTACTTCCCTGTCATTTAGTTGGAAGCTGGCTTCTGAAAACCTTCGATGAGCTGTCCTGAGATTTTATTTTGTCAAACGTATTTGAGATGGTCTGCTTTTGTTTTTCTTTATAACAGCAAGACCCCAGTTTTCTTGAAAGAATTTTAGACAGTAGACCTTTATTAGCTAGCTGCAGCAGCACAAAGAAGTCTGTTTCCTGTCACAATGTTCAGAGAAAGCAGTCAAGCATTTCAATCACCATTTGTTTCTCTAGTAGTTCCCTTTTTCCTTTCTTTTTGTGTTTGTGCTGAATAGCTTTTGTGAACTTGATGCTTTGACAAAGTTAAAAGTGATTCATTGTATTTTATTCTGTATTAGACTAATTATCAGAATGTACAAATGATGTATGAATATGTAAACAGAGTGCTGAGTCAAAATGCACAGAAATTGTGTTACTGAAGTAAGTCAAAGTCTCCTTCACCATACAAACATACTTTGTTAATTTAACCTTCTACTGTTTTTATCCTCCTTCTTCATTTTGATTCAGAATTGCAGCTTTTGCATATTAAAAGATATATTTCCTGTTTTGGTCAATACCTCTGATATTAAAGCTATTTACAAAAGTTTCACATTTGTTAATCAATCTCTACATGTCTGTCTACATTTTTAGCAGTTGTTGTTGACACTTTTAATACTACAACATACAGTACTTAGCCCCAAGATAAGAGTAAATATACTTGATTCCCCCCCCTCAGTGATCTGTCCTCTTTTCCAAAACAGTTAATGAGGTAAATAATTGTGAAAGGTGAAATGAATATCAGAAGACCTTGGAGTTTTCAAAGTGGACTGAGTTGTTTAAATGTCTACAGATCACATCCCGCCCCAGCCCCTGATAAAACACGGTTACCTAGCCAGGCTCTGCTTGCCCTCATGTTTATTACCTAAAAAGTAAGCTTCCTGGTGCACAGGTAATAATAATAATCGCTTACACTTACAGTATATAGCGCTTTTTCTGGACACTCCACTCAAAGCGCTTTACAGGTAATGGGGACTACCCTCCACCACCGCCAATGTGCAGCATCCACCTGGATGGTGGCTCTCCTGGCCCTCAGTGGTACTCCCTATGGAGAAGTAGTGTTAACCTTGCTCTGCCTGTGTAAAAGGATCATCAGACAGCTCTTGGATGGCCGTAGTGCCTCCCTGTCATAAAAAAAAAAGATCTTTACAATTGAATTTTTCTGGTACCTTTTTTATTGATCTGTCATTCATATTTGATTGCAGCTGATGGCATTAAAGAAGTCTTGATTCAAGGTACAGTTTTACATTGAATTAGATCAATCAACACAAACCGGGGTAAACTATATTACTAAAGGATAAAAAATTGCTTCATATGTACAACACTGCAAATTATTGTCATTCCTGATCAGCAATACTCAAATTGGCTGATACAGCAATGCTTTTGTCTTGTCTATGCAGTGTTCTATACTCTACAACCTCCTTGTGCTGGAGTTCTAACAAAGGGGCTATTGTGCTGGAGGTGGGGTGTGGCGTTTCTTAATAGTTCAGCAGTAAGAATAATTAGAACTATAATTCTGTTATTGGGTTGAATCTGTAAGATATGTTTAGCGCTGTAACATCAAAATGGGGCAGTTTCATTTTTAATTCTTTAGAGATTGGGGAGGCATGGTGGCACAGTAGTTAGCTTTGCTGTGTTGCAGCAATTAGGCCCTGTGTTCAAAGGGGTGTTATGTTTGTGGAGTGTGCAAGAACCCTCCATGTTTGCATTGGTTTCCTCCAGGTGCTCCAGTTTCCTCCCACACTCCCGAGTCATGGTGGTGCGTTAATTGGTTTATAAGGTGTGAGTGCATGCGTTTGTATCTGAGTGTGACCCGTGATGGACTGGCATCCCATCCAGGGTGTATCCTGCCTTGACCCAGAATTGGATAAGCTGTTAATGTAAGTGATGTGATGTTTAGTGATGTCCTTGGTATATTTAGGTCTGAGCATTTCAGTTAAACAAATACTGT